TTTTAATTTTGTAATTGCTTTAGTATGTTTATCACTTTAGTACATTAATCACTATTTGTTGAGATTAATTTTTTAGGAAGATATATAAAATTACATAGCTATTAGATTTTGGCTTTATTCTCCTCACTTATCATCATAAAATATTTGTTGTGCAATGACAAGATCTGTCTTTTGCATTGACACAATTTGTCTTTGGATGCTTTATAAGTCTTTGGGATTACTACAGTTCTGGTGTGTTTTTCATCAAAGACTTTCTTGATTAGTTTAGCTTCCTCTAATTTCATTGTCACTCCAAACTTTGTGGCATAAAAGACTAATGCCATGATCTGTTTGTTGTGTTCAATGCTATATTTCTTTTAATTGCACCAAAAGTGATTGACTTGTGGCCCCTATCTATACTAGTTTACATTTAAACCTATTATCATAGATGGAGACACAGTAGACACCTTATATTTTTTAGATATCTATCTGATTTTATTGTTCTGTAATAATCTGTCCAATATAAATATACTATGCAATTGCATTTGTAACTAATGCTTACCTATGAATATTTGGCAATCTCCCTAATGATGAACCTAAGTGAGGGTAGTAATCCATTATTATATGCTTAATTGAAGATTGAGCTGTGTTTCCATACTGTTTCCTTGGTTTTATATTTTACAGGAATATGTGTTTGCTAGTTTCTGAATAAGTTTTTGGAATATCCATAAGCTACCACTATATGTTTTAGGTGTGTTGTTTTTTCCAGGTGTCATTTATGTTAGAACAATGTGTGAATGTTCTCTTGACTAACAAGGCTCTAAAGGCCTCTGCTTTATATATAAAGGGGTCATTAGAGTTTGATGGAATGAATGGAGGCCTAAATTCTGGTTTATAGTGTATCCCAGTGATGATATTATTGTTATGGAATGTTATGTTAATATTCAAGAAATGTGCATCTGTGGGACTAAATTGGTCCAGGTTTAAAGTGAGGCCATAAAGGTTTGTATTAAAGATCTGTAATAGGTTCTTGCATAGAAATCATAGAAAGCAATAGGAAACTACTAAGCTTTATTACAAATGTAGCAATCTCCCTAATAAGATGAGTACAGGTAGAAATAAAGAGAACTGTGTTAGGGTTGTAATAATTTCCAACTGCAACACCTTACTTGATATAGGAAAGAAGGGGCTTCCCAGATTGTCAACCTGTAAAAACCTCCACAGAGACTCTTGAGAATTGGAACTTGGAACATGAGGACCTTAAAGAAGGTTGGAAAGCTGGAAAATCTGAAGAATTATATGAAAATCAATAAGTTAGACCTAGTTGGACTAAGTGAAGTGAAATGGGAAGACACTGGAAAATTAGTGAGTGATGATATCAAGCTTTAATTTTTGGGTGGAAGGAAAGCAATGAATGGAGTGGAGATAGTATTAAAAAGAGAATTTGCATCTTGGGTAATTAAAGTTGATTACATAAATGACAGAGTTATGATGGTCAGAATCCAAGTAGAACCAAAAGATCTAGTACTGATTCAAGTACATAAGCCTACCAGCTCTTGTTCAGATGAAGATGAAGAGGTAGAGGAAATATACAAACTTGTGGAAGAAATTATGTAAAAGGAGGACAGAAATGCCTTTCTATTGTTATTAGGTGATTGGAATGCTGTGGTGGGAAACACGAGAGAGGAAAATAATGTAGGAAGGTATGGATTGGGAAGCAAGAACAGGAGAAGAGAAAAGTAGGTTGAATTCCGCAAAGAACATAGTATGATGATTACAAATACATAGTTTCAAAGACATTAGGGAAGGTTACAGACATTGAAAGATCCTGGGGACACAACAGATATCAAATCAGACAATTGTACTAAGGATGTCAGCACCTATCCAGGTTTAGACATAGACTCAGATCACAACCTCTTAAAATAACATAATTAACACTTCAGTGCTGTGGCGTTACAAATTTGCAATTTGTAATGCCGCAACTCTGAAGTGTTAATTACTTTATTTTATTTGAACATTCACATGAAGTGTATTTTATGATCATCACAACCTCTTACTTGCAGAAGTCAAAATGAGGTTTAAGAAGTTCACAAAGAGAAAAAATAAAAAATGGGATTTAGAAAATTTGAAAAAGAATAGTGAAATGTTTAGATTAGTATCCGAATAAAAAAATAAAAGAAACAGATAAACAGGATGCTGAAGGACCAAATGAATTGTGGATATATATGAAGCTAAAAGATTTATGCCACAGCAGGAGAATGGGTAGGAAAGAAAAAAGGTCAAAGAACTTGTAAACCCTGGATTGGAAATGGTGAATAAAGTGAATAAATATAAACTCTGAAGAAGGAAAATGAAAATACAAAGAANTTGGAGGTGGAATGTGGGATTAGTTTCGAAATGGACAGATGTTTACTTTAAACGAAAGGGGAGATCGGAATTTTTCCATTTTTTTAAGTTAGGGTATAGTTTAGAATTTAAAGGAAAATTTAATTGGGGGTTTAGAAAAATGCTGTATATTAATCGAAAAATTTGATAAAAATTCCGGATCTCACAAAATTATTTAACTGGAGAATTGTAAATCAAAAGAATGTGCCTAAAATGATATTAAATTTAATAAATATTTCACCAGTGACTATTTTTTTTACCAGTATTTTACCAGTGACCTGTATTTTTAGAAGTTAAACAATCATTTTTCAGGCTATAATAAGACTAATTAATTAATGATTAAATGATCTAATTTGTTTTGAAGATAGGCAGTTAAGCCATCATTCTGTGCTAATTTTAATAATTACAGGTATCCTTTGATTAATGCACTTAATTAATTCCTTGATGTTACTGCATACAGTAGAACCTCGATTATCCGCCCCCCGATCAACCGACCCCTCGGTTAACCGACCGTCCTAGTCGGCAAATTTCAAATGTCCGCTAGTGATGTGGTGCTACAATATTTGGCTATGTCTTGGCTACTTTAATATTATTTTTACGTGTTTTAGCTGGCAACACTCATTCGACCATGAAAGGGAGCCAGTATTTAAACGAAGCTTAATTTTCTAATTTTTAACGATACAATAGCGACGATTATTATTTTAAAAAATTTTTGTTAGGCTTAACATCGATGAAAATTCAACGC